TATTGGATGATGACAAAATTGTTTAATTTTTAGTCTTAATTCGAGACCTATGTTTTTATGTTAATTATTGCGTTGTGATTCCATTAATGTGCCTATTCACATTGTGTTAATGTTTGCGCACCATTAGAACAATAAGTTTCTTATTCGTAGTGTTGGAAAACTCATGATAGGTAGAACACTATTATTGGGACACATGGGCAATAAATATTAGGAATAATATTTGTGGCGTGTGCGTCTTATGTGATAATCCTAAATGTCAATGCATGTTTGCCATATGAATTCGAACTAGGAATATGATCGTCTCGTGGTAACCATAGATTTATTCTATCTTGGGAAAGAATAATAAATAAAAAAAGGAATTATTGATCGTCGCAATTGCATAAATTAAGATAATAATTACTAGTTGAGAATTAAAACTAAGAATTAATCAATAGCGTCGGAAATTCAATATGTTCGCATACTTGATTTTTAAGCCAACTTTCATTATTTTCACAAGTTTTAGTTCTAAAAATTAGTTAGATATTCATTCGATCATCTTTTGGTTACAAACACGAATTTAAATATATCAAATATACTAAAACTGATCATTATTCCTTGTGGGACGATAATTCTCTCATCACAATTATTACTTGTACAACGAATCTGTACGCTTGTTGGTATTTGACAAACAACTATTTTGTGGCATTGCATCTGGCATCAAATAATTCATCATAGGATCTTTCTTGCATGAGTGAAGTACCTGGAATTTGAACGACAAACAATTTCCTTGTTGGAGGGTAAAAGCACCAGACATGGACCAAATGAACTCGTTCTTTGCCCATACCCATCCTAATTTCCAACCTGGGTTCTCTACATGACGATACTGGTAGTGGTTTTGGATCGTTACTCTTGCTTGCAAGAAGCAGTTGGATAACTGACAGTTCGCTCGTACAGGTGAATCGTGTTATTGAAAATATAGGATGCCAAGTGCAATTTAAGATTGCAATGAATTGGCTAGTGTTATGTCTAGATTTCAGAGTTGTTTTCCTGAATTACATTAAACCCACTGTGCATTTTTGTACTTCGGACTAGGCCTGACAAAACATTTAAATTCTTTGTCTTCTATAATAATATAGGGTCCTATAACTTTCGAGTTGAAGTTATATATTATTTTCATCACTAGCACAACACAGGAGAACTAGTGAGTAGTAACTAGATCTAGCGCAGATAGAGCAGATTTATCACTCACGCACTCACACTCTATATTCAAACATTTTTTCTACCATGGGACATAAGTAAACGAGGAAACTTAGAAATAAGAAACTTGTTGATCTTAAAAAACATTAAATTTAGAGAGTTTCTAAATCTAAATGGCAAGCATTAGCCTCTTCGACAAATGAATAACTTCCGACACGAAACAAAATCTGAACCTATAGCAGAAATATACAGTGTGCCTATTACAAAACTAACCACATAGCCATCAAGCGTATACTTCTTTATGTCAAAGGTAACTGTAATATTTCCATTTGGACCCAATGGGTCATAGCAATCTGCAACAAGAAAAACTCAGGTGGGAAAAACAATACACACGGTATTAAAAAGCAAGTTTATTACCAAATTCAGAAATTGAGGGAGGCAAGAGATGCCTAATGATTGGCACCTTTTCGAATAAAATAATAAATAGTTTGCCCACAAAAAGTAATTGAGCAAGCTAAAGTGTATCAAAGACATGATTAAACAACGTTGTTCATAAATCATACTAACGCAACAATGAGAAGTAGAGGTCGTGACTTCAAATACCCGTATATGAAAATTATGTTGAAAAAAATGGGTTGAGTGACTAACTTTGACACAAAATTTGAGTGGGACCCGATTGGTTATTTTGAAAGTTCAAGATTGATTTGTGTTCTTCTCTATGAGAATATCAAAATCACGTATTTACTTGTCAAAAATGATGTTTGGGTTAATGAAAAATTGGAGCTCAAAATGTGCTAATTAAAAGGAATTTATGTTGTTGAAGGGAAACCATTTAAGGTTGTCCCATATAGGAAAATTATGAAAACAAATACCACCTTAAATAAGATTGCATTTTGAAATGATGTGATCATGTATAGCATATAGATTCTCTCTACATACGTGAGTAGGGAGGCAAATCAAATCGAAATAAACTTCGGATGTAGCAATTGGCCCCTTAGAAGAACCTACATTTTGCTAATTTTTTTCCTCTAATTGACCGTTTGATTCCAAAACTCCAATATTTATTGTCATTATATACGAGTTAATGACATTCATGGTGTTGAGCCTATATATATAACCTGATTTCTAACAATTCTACACGAGAAAAAAATCTTTACAGCATATAGTTTCTGCACATATTTACAAAATACAGTTTCTGCATATTTTGGTCTGCATACTGCATAGTCACATAGTGGGTGATATTGTTCAGACACAAATTTAGTTTGACAGAGTAGTATTTGAGGTGCTCAAATCCTACCGTTCTACTGTTGTATCCTGGGAAATGGATGTTTAATTTAATCTTTAAGCATTTACGATGAGAGGACGAATCTGTTTTAAGGAAACTGTGTTCACGTAAGCCTTTGTTAAAATTTTCTTACTTTTGGCTAATTAATTTACTTGTTCTGTTTTATTAAAATTAATCTCTTTTATTTGGCCAACCAGATTAATTTGTTCAGTTTATTGCTATTTAATCTACTATATTTTTGGTAATATCCAAGTTCAATGCATATACAGTAAGCTGCAAAATACGGTATGCGTAAATACGATATATTGCATATACAGTATGCATAAATTCGATATGTAAATTGCATATACAGTATGTGTTAATTCGGTATTCATTCCCAACTATTTAATCCAACAAATTATGCACAAACCTCACAAGTTATGGTAAGTGTTAAAACTTGGGGTTCCATATTAAAATATTAACACTATTAAGAGAAGTAGCCCAAGATCTTCTGCGTTTATCTATGTTTTCATCTTTATACTATGTGAGATTATATCCTCTTAATATGCTCCTGTAAGATGGTGGCTCATTTGAGCGGACCAATCTTGAAATATGTATGCTCATTTTTTAGTTTTAATCGGATCGAATAACTCATTAGAGTTTAATAGATTTTGATACTGTGTTAAGATTTGAGATTATATCTTAAGAGGCTAACCTTGTTAAAAGAAATAGTCCAAGATCTTATAAGTTGATTCATATTTTCATCTTTATACGATATGAGATTATATCACTTAACAATAAGGATAAGGTTTAAATACATGATCATTCTACTTGTACTAAATCATGTACAAAATGGGTTATAAAATCAACAAATGACGACCCCCTATTAGACCCCACAGCTACCCTTCCAATCGATGGCCGTCACTTGTTAATTTTGTAACTCATTTTTTATCTTATTTTGTACTTATAGCATGGTCTTTAAATACAACTTATGCATTTACACATAGTGATATAAAAATTTGCATGCTTACATGCAAGCAAGGACAATTATAAAATGAATGCTGATGACACCCAAAGTGATAAGGCGGCTGGCTTTAACTTGGATAACGATAATTGGTCATCCCCAACAGTGGAGTAAGTATAAAGCATATAGGCAATAAAACACAGTATCTTGTAGTGTGCATTGTTTTCTTCGAGCATTTTGTCCAACAGGTGCCAATCATCAGGCGTAATTGTCAAGAAATAGTTTACCCACCAAGTTTTATATTTGATTGTGGGGCTTGTTTGCAGTTTCAATGACAGCATAGTGGCAATGAAGGTTAGAATATACGGCTAAGCTAATTTACGTATAAGTAGAGAAGTAAAAAAAAAATAATAATAATAATCCACAACTTTTATCAATTTTTCAATCATACATTTCATCAATTTTTATGCTAAACGTTTTATCAAAATTAAAATCCCTTTTTAAAAAATTATTTTTATTTTAAACTGCAAAATCTCTCGATTATGAGAATCAATAAAAATTGAGTAATATTTCGTAATTTTTTACTACTATTTTACGTAAGTTTTGTTAGAAAATGATAAATTAAATTTGATTGGTGGATATATACGATACTTTTGACTTTTTGGCTTCAATTCAGTCGAGGAAATTTGACTGAATCACCCTTAAAATATCAATGTTTACATCTAAAATGGGTGATTCACTCTTTCAACTTAAGGACAAAATTGAAAATGACGAAATATATTTCTCAGGGACATACATCGAGCCAACGTGGCCCTGTTCATCTAGCATGGTTCCAAATTAATTGATTTGCCATTTGACTGAATATTCTAATACAATTCAAACTATCAAACTCTGTTAAATACCCCTTCTTTGCATAATTTATTTTAACTTTATCCTGTTCCTCGAACATAGATGATAGACCTATGAGAAAAAGAAAATTAACTAGTCCACTTCAATTTACAACTCAAGTCCACTTTTCACCCTATATTTCATATTTATACATTTTCCTCATTCAAGGGAACATGGCACAATATTAGTCCAAACTGCCATTTTCTTCATCAAATACTCCAAGACTCAATAATTAATTTCTTCTATTCACAACATTTTTTAATGACTTACAGACGTACTATGGTGAAGATGGGGTTGAGGACGAAGCATGTGGCTCGTGCACGATTGAGTTTACAGACACTGATATCGGATTGGCTTCTAAAAGTTGCATGATAGTTTTGAGTACTTGAGTCAATAACTTCTTGAACTCTTCTTCGCTAACCGTTTTCTGATCATTCACCTCAAACGTTTTAAGAGCTTCAGCCCTAATGTTATCCATCTGCAAATAGATAAGAAAACCCATCAACTGATAGTTTCTAATTCACCAGTTATTATCATTATTGGTGACACTGAAAATTAATTATATGGACAGGGCTTGGAGTATTTAAGCTTGTTTGATAGTTGACTGAATATTCTAATACAATTCAAACTATCAAACTCTGTTAAATACCCCTTCTTTGCATAATTTATTTTAACTTTATCCTGTTCCTCGAACATAGATGATAGACCTATGAGAAAAAGAAAATTAACTAGTCCACTTCAATTTACAACTCAAGTCCACTTTTCACCCTATATTTCATATTTATACATTTTCCTCATTCAAGGGAACATGGCACAATATTAGTCCAAACTGCCATTTTCTTCATCAAATACTCCAAGACTCAATAATTAATTTCTTCTATTCACAACATTTTTTAATGACTTACAGACGTACTATGGTGAAGATGGGGTTGAGGACGAAGCATGTGGCTCGTGCACGATTGAGTTTACAGACACTGATATCGGATTGGCTTCTAAAAGTTGCATGATAGTCTTGAGTACTTGAGACAATAACTTCTTGAACTCTTCTTCGCTAACCATTTTCTGATCATTCACCTCAAACGTTTTAAGAGCTTCAGCCCTAATGTTATCCATCTGCAAATAGATAAGAAAACCCATCAACTGATAGTTTCTAATTCACCAGTTATTATCATTATTGGTGACACTGAAAATTAATTATATGGACAGGGCTTGGAGTATTTAAGCTTGTTTGATAGGTTTTTTGAAAAGTTAAAAACTACTTGTAAGATTAAGAAGTTGGTTTTTTTCTAGTTAGAATAACATTTAGAGGAAGCTACCTACAAGTAGAAGCCCTGCCAAACGGGTCTATAAAGCTTATCATACCTGATCCTGAGTTCCAAATGGAGGTAAGCCAGCTGAAGAGGCAAGAATTTCAAGCGCACCATGGAAATATTCGTTAGATATCTCTCCATTTTGACCTTTGCGTACACTTTCTATAGCAGAATTCATTATCTGCATTGAACAAAAGAACAATAATGAAACGTATAAATAGGTCGTGTCTTCTTCTAGGAAGCACCAGATATCTCACTACTAACCTTATGCAACTCAAATTTGTTTGACAACAATTTCTTAATGCCACTTCCATCAAAAGTATTCTGACTATGAGCCACAATCGCGGGTTTCTCTTTTAGATGTTGTGCCATACTCTCTATAGCTCTTTTAAACTCGACCAAAAATGTCGCTTGTGAAACTGGTTGTCCAGAGACATCACCAAGGGATTGTAGTGCTGGTTTCACAATGTTACTTACAACCTACAAAATAAGTATCTGCTATGAATTTCCTATGCCTAGAAATTAGTTAAAATCGTGCTCGTGTTGACAGCTTAGCATTCACAAGTACGGAATAAGTACCCAAGGATCTGTAGCTGGAGGCATTCCCTGATCAACGGTAAGTTTGACAAAAGCCTCCATAATGTTATCTTGAAGAGATCCACCGGGTAATCCAATCTCGGAAAAAATGGAAAGTGTATCCGATTCAAAAGTTGGGCTCTTCAAAAACTCAAACAGCTCTTCACCATTGATTCGGAGAATAACAAAAGCATCTCGCTTCAAACCAGCAGCCATGCCCATTAATGTTTTTTATAATATACCTTTTTAACTAACTCAGTCTTGCTTATCTTTTGTTGTTTACGACACTTGAATTCATTAAGCTCCTGCAGGAACACATCACAAAGTCTGTTCTTTAGCCATTTATGTAGTATTGTGCGCCAAATATGCATCTAAGCATTTTGGGAGGAAAAGACATAAATATAGGGGCGAGGGAGGGCCAAGCCCATTTAATATTTCGTAGGTTAATGTATCAGTCCCTTACAAAAACAAAAACGAACGAACGAACGAATAAAAACTAATTTCTCCCTTGTTTCGTCCCTGCCTAAATGCTTGAGTTAAAGATAAGAATTAAATGATATACACGGGGTTCTAGTTTAAACTTTTAGATCAAAGAATTCAACACTTGCATGTCAAACGACAAAGGTGAACAATACAAGACTAAACTGGTAACAAATGTTTTCCTGAGACTTCATCCCTTGAATCCATTCCCACATGTTTTCTTCGACAACATTTCCATACAGTTTTGTATCTTTCTTTTCCAAAACTAGTGTTCCCAAGTGTTGGTGTGGTGTTGTTTTTCCAATTCTCGTTATCGTGTAACTTGTATTTTGTTCAAAGCGTACCAAACATTTTATGTAAGTATAAAACGAGGGAAGAAAGGCGACACAAACCTCAGAATAGACGTGATCGGATGACTCAGGCGAAGTGTCCGAACGAAGCACAAGAGACTACAACTTCTTTAGAGAAAGCTGACTATTGAAGTCAATGTGTAGTTCCTGTAACTTATGACCACAAAGTTGCTAGCTGAACAGTAAACACCTTATCATTTTCAAACATCATCAGAACCGTCCATCACTTGATCAACATTTGATCATATATTCTTGTTCATGTCAAAGAGGCAAAACCCGACTTTTTCATTAATGCAAAGCCCTGGATTTGATGATTTTCCCGTGACAGCGGTGTGTTTTTAGAGAGAGAAATTTTGGTTTATGGACAGGACACGAAGGTCGGTGTGTGGTGGGCCAAAAAGGTCGTACTCTGTGAATCCATCAATGAGTTTGATATTAATTTTCTCGACCAATGAAAAAGTGGCACAAGTTAATGTGTCAGACGTTACGTTATATACAGTAGGCCTGGACGCAATTGGATCGATTTCGACCTCAACATGAAATCAAAACCAAATTACTTGGTTTGTGCAAATTTTAATCCAAATCAATCAACTCTAACTCTTAAATCGAATTGAACCAAACCAAATTAAATCGATTTGGACTTTTAGTCAAAATTAATTTTTTTTTAAAAAATTGTTCCAGTTTTAGACACACTTAAATTACAAGAACTAAAATAATCAAATAATTTTATATTATAAGTACTATTGACTAACATATAAAATCATATTAATAGAGACAAATCAAAGGAAAACTTAAAAGCTTGTAAAAGAATATGAAAAAATGTTAAGCTTGTAAAAGAAAATTTTCGGTGCTATTACTTATCGACAACATCATAGATTGTAGGGAATCGAGATATAGTTATGAGACTAAAGTTTATCTTTTGATTTTTATTTTTCTTAAATTAAAAAAAGGTAAACGTGTGATTAGAGTGGGTTGGTTCGATTACCTAACGGTTTGAAACTTCAAACCATGACCAAGGCGACTCACCATGATTTTATTTAAAAGAAAATCAAACCAAATCAATTACATGTATCGAACCAATCCGAACTGATTGAGTCGGTTCGGTTCGATTTGATTGGTTTGGTGAGTTTTTCAATTTTTTTGATCAGGCTTAATGCACAGGCAATGATTCGTCGGCCTGGTGCATTTTGATAGGTTTATGTCCCTGAGCCACCAAATCTTATTTATCGGGCTCACTTGTCTCAACTAATCACGCTAAACCCAGCTTAGTAACAATTGAATCTCGAGCAATTTAATATGGAAAAATTTCATAAGCCAGGCATTAAGTACAAAACAGTTCAATTTTCACATATTAAGTTTCAAAATTCAAAACTTGGGTGTTAATTAATTAATTAAATATATTTTACTAATTAAATATATTAATGTCACAATTATACAATTAATGGTAACATGTGCGTACTTATAGGTCACAACTTATTTATTGATCACATATTATCAAATTAATTGATCGCTAAATATATCATAGTAGAGATAAAAAATTTAAAATATGACAAATTATTTGTTCGTCACAGATTTTCAAATTAGTTGGTTATAAATGATTTTTCAATCATAAATTATCAAAATTTTAAATTACAAATAACCAAATAGTTGGTCACAGATTTAACCAAATAGTTGATCACATATAACAAAAAGTTGGTCACATATCACCACCACCAACATTATCACCACCGCCACTTGCAACCACCACCTCCAACACAACTTAATAACGCCACCATCACCAACACAACCCCACTTGCGACAACCACCACCACATAGGGATGTCAATGGATCGAGTCGGCCGTAAAAGCACGAGCTCGGATCGGGCTCACCACGAGCCGAGCTCGTGCTCATCAAAAAATGGGCGAGCTCGACTCGAGAGCACACGTCGTTTTTTTTGGAAACAAATAGGTAAATTGAAAAATAAAAAAATAATTTTAATTTTTAAATCGTGAATTTTTTATGCAAAAAATTTATATATATAAAAAACTAGGTAAAAAATTTCAACCCTCCTCCTTTATCCGGGTTTGGGACCGGCTACTTAAAATTAGAGTAAACAGAGTTAAAAATTGTGTTGTTTGTTTGTTTGTTCGTCTACAATTTTTTTTAAAAATTTAAAATAGTATTAAAAATTATTTTTTCAAGCAACGCTGCGCGTCCCCTTACATATAATATTCGAAGTAAATCCCTTCTAAAAATTGAAAGAGTAATCGAATGCCCTTTCAATTGTCAGAAGTCTTTACTTCGAAAATTACATAGAAATCTTTCATTTCAAAGATTATATATAATTTTCGAAGTTAAAAACTTCTGACAATTGAAAGGACAATCATTCAATTACCCTTTTAATTTTCAGAAGAAATTTATTTCGAAAATTATATGCAAAGGTACACACAGCGTTGTTCGATAAAAGAATTTAAAATCTAGACATATAGTAGTAATAGTACTAAGTACTAACAAAAATTTAACTAAATTGGTGGAAAGAATTTTTTTTTCTTTTTTTTAAACTAAAGGAGATAGAAAAAAATAAAAATGAAATCTTTATTTTTTTTTATTTTTCTTTTTAAAATAGATAAAATATAAATCCTCCTCCTTTATCCGGACTTGGGACCGGCTACTTAAATTTTCAGTAGGCGGAGTTAAAAATTGTACACGAACATACAATTTCGGCATATTTTTTAAAGAAATTTTTTTAAAGAAAATCAAAAGTAACGATAAGAAAAGAAAAGTTTCATCAATATAATTAAATCAAATATCAATTACTTGACGACATGCAATTTCGGCATATTTATCTTGTAGTCGAAAATGAGCGTTGGGCCAATCCTTAACGCACATTAACGCTTCTAAAATATCTTCTTTCAGTCGGTTCCTGACCTCGCTCAAAACTCTTTTATCTGCACTAAAAGCAGACTCCAAAGCAACAGTGCTAATCGGAAGTGTCAGCAGATCTTTTGCAATCGCAAATATAACTGACCAACGTCGTTCATACCTTCGCCAGAATTCAATTACTTCGTCTGAACTTTTTTTAATTGTTTTATTTGTTGGCATATTCTGGTTGAAATAATCAATTAATTCAATAGGCAATGCATTATAGCTTGAGCCCATAGATGTTTGATGAGAATGAGATACAGATGTAGACAACATGGAAGTGGCAGTAGATGAACACATTACAAATGAATCATATCTATACGAATTAATGCCTTGAAATAAATTAAATATTTTCGCATCTTCTTCTTCAATTTTAGCGGAAGGAGTAGGTGCAGATGGTACCTGACTAATATTGGTACTCATTTGGTTTGCATATAACTCATACATTTCAAATAATATTTGCTCTAAATTTCTATATGTGATAGGTGTATCAAATGTTAAGGTGTTTGAAATTTGATCAATTATATATTTAGTTCCCGATAAATTAAATTGGGGGTCCATCACGCACGCTAAAGGAAATAATATAGGCAAGTTTTCTCAATATTTTCTAAATTTTAATTCCATAGCAATTATAATTTCACTAAAATCAAGATCATTTTTGTATTTATGAAATGTTCTTGCAATTATATAAAGACGTTCAAGCACCATACAGCTGGTGGGATAGTAAACGCCCGATAAAATCTTAGTGGTTTCATAAAAAATATGTCAAAATTATTTTAACTTTCAAAACTATTTTCCAATCACGTTCAGTCAACATTCCCTCGTCATCACTTCTAACATGTCTATTGTTATAAAAGTTAATTATTAAATGTTCAAAACCTTCACATGACTTTAATAACAAATAAATAGAGTTCCACCTATGACCTACGTCGCTGACAAATGTTTTAGCATTTTGCACTCCTATTTCGGCACAATAATCCTCAAATGCTTGTTTTCTACTTGGGGAGATCGTGTTATATATTAGTGCGTTCCTAATATTTTGAAATTCATCCTTTATATGTTTTAAACCATCTTGAACAATTAAATTCAAAATATGACATACACAACGAATATGAAACAAATACCCACCAAAATCAGATTACAATACCCTATGCAATTTATCGGCAACTACTTTATTAACACTAGCATTATCGAAAGTAAATGAACGAATTTTTACTTTCGCAATGATATTCTCTAGCAATACTAATAATAGCATTAAATATATTATTAGCATTGTGAGGAAACTCAATAATTCTAAAAGCAATTATTTTTTTATGCATGCACCAAAGTTGGTCTATATAATGTGCAGTTGCGGCTATATATGCTCTTTTATTAATCACTTCCCATATATCCAAAGTTAAAGATATGACACCCCATATTTTTGCAAATTCATAATTAATTATTGTTTTGTTTCAGTAAAATATTGTATTATATCGGAACGAAAAGTGTTTCGACTTACCCCAACGTACCTTGATTGCAGATATTCTTTCACATATGAGACGTAGTGTTGGTTGTCAAATAATGTCAAAGGCAATTCAGCACCAGCAACAAATTTCACGATTCCGATTCAAACTCTCTCCTCCGAATACACCTATGTGGATAGGAGTGTAGCAAAACCATCAGCGTCTGGACTGTCAAATTGCAATTGTGTTTGATAGTCTGGAATAAGTCTGTATTTGACCGCACATACTTTGTAATGACAGTTGAGATGGGTGGTACCAATTTCTCTTTGCCATGCTAATCTTTGTTGGCAGTATTTACATATTGCTTTGGATTCTGGGACTCCATTGACGATTTTTCCGTTGAAATCAATTTAAAGTAATTCCAACATTTTGCTTGTTTTTTCCCCTTTCGCTTTTCCCTCGCATCAGGAATGTTTAATTCAACCTCTTCTTCCTAATTGTGTCCCACTTTGGGAACGTCAACATCATCCAAATTAATTTGATAATTTGGATTGCCGCTTACATGATGATGAAGATCCAAATCTAGAATATCTTCAGGTAGGGGTACGTCATTTAGACCTTCAAATTGATTCCAAAATTGACTTTGCGGTGTCATAGGCGATTCGTTTCCTCCCACACCGAATAAGTTTTCGACAAATGTGCGGGAATCCATTTGTTTAATTGTAATAAGTAATAATTAGTAAAAAAATAATTGTATAAATGTAGTGAAAAATAAAAATTGGATGAAATTTTAATAAATATAGTGAGGACTAAGAAATGAGAATTGAATATTGTATAAATTGTATATAAAAATTGCACAATTATCAACACAACACAAGAGAGTTGAAAGAAAGAGAATTGAGAGTTGAGAGTGAATTATAGAAAATTTTGTGGCTAAATGCTACTGGCACTATTTATAGAAGAAGAAGAAGAAGAGGAAAAAAAAAATTAAAAAATTAAAAAAAAAAATTAAAGGACCGAAACGATCACTGAAAAAATTCAGTGACCGTTAACGGTCATAAATTTAAAAAAAAGAAAAAGTTCAGGGACCGAAATGGTCACTGACAAAAGTCATTGACCGTAATGGTCACTTTTTAAAAAAAGTGATCGTTTCGATCACTTTATAGATGACCCCACGAGCTGGGCTCGTGGGCCAACTCGCGGCTCATTTAATTTGGGAGCCGAGCCCCACCGAATCGGCTCGCTCGGCTCGCGCTCAGGCTTGTGTTTTTACGAGCCCGAGCCGCCTACGAGCTCTGTTTTCGCAAGCCGACGAGTCGCTCGGCCCATTTGCCACCCCTACCACCACATGTTGCCTCTGCCATCCCACAACTGCAAAACCACCAACACAAACTACAACAACCGCAAAAAACACCACCACAACAACCATCGACCACACAAGCCACCATAATCATCCGAGAAATCAAACTCAATATTTTTTATTTTTTTCGAAAAAAAGGAAACAACAAATCTGCACCGCTATAGATCAACCACTGTCATATTAAAGTAACGATGATGGGCTGCCATAGAAAAGATAGAGAAGGAAGAGAAGGGATGGGAATGGCAGAGGAAATAGTAGATACATAGAAAGGCGATGTTAATGAAGAACATTGCTTACAACAAAGTGAGTAGAGAGATGGTCTCTGATAGCATGGCCCATGAAAGAGAGGGTAGAGAGACGGGTGAGGAAGAAAGGGAGTAAGAGACGAGAGAGAGAATGATTTAGGATTTGAATGGTGTGGATGAGATAGAGAGTGATTATATAAATTAATTTATAATATAATTAATGCTATTAAAATATGAAATTGTCATCTGATTTTTGGTTAAATAAACTTTATTCCTGATTTTTGAATTGTGATATTTAAATACTTGCTCTAGTGTAATTTCCACACTAAATATGGGGACATATTGAAATATTTTTTAATTTCAATTGGTGCTTAAAGAAAAATTTATAATTACGCTCTATGTAAATTTTGATGTGTATATATTTTTTGAGCAAATTACAGTGTATGTAGTAATTATTTTTAACTTACACTTTCCACGTTAAATATTGCTATAATGTATGTAATTTTCAAAAATTATTGTAAGTTGCAATTTAGGTTAATATTGTTAAGTGTTACAATGTATGTAATCCTTGTTTCAAGCTTCTTTATTTTTTCAAAATTGAAAACCACTACCTCTTGCCTCCTCTATCACTATTCAGTATTCATCATCAGCATTGTTAGAACAACCAACACGACATCACCATCAATTTGTATTTTCATATTTGAAAATAGAAAAACGGCTTTTAATAGTATTGTGTATGTATTTATGAGATTATATTTGGAATTCTTTTTGGTCGCTTCAAATTAACATTTTTCCTCTCATGATGCTATTCAATATCTAAAGAAATTTTTGTATATGAATGAAAAAAAAAAAAAAAACTAAAATCATATCAATTCTACAATTTAGTATCATATCAAAGGGGCGTGCCCCTTGAGCGCACACAATCCCCTAGTTATCCAGGGGATTGTTCGAGGGGCTTTACTCCATATTGAAGGGGCTCGTCAAGCGTTTTTGGTGTAATTGACTATAAAAGCAAACAATTTTTCTACACATCATCCATTAATATCGAGATGGATAAATCTATTTGCACAATCATTTTGTACAAGTAGTTTTTAAAAAGTGTTGGTGGAAAAGATTAATTATTTTTAAAAATGTTCAATGACAATATGCCTCAGTTTGACCTCTATTTTCTAGAAATAAAAGTGGGTGGAATAATATTTTTTTGAAAAATAAGTGGTTGAAAAAGAATGAAAAATTTTCGATTTACGTATAACATTATTTTATAAAAAATTGTGTGATTGAAAATCAAAGAGAGAGAAATAGAATCTAATTTAATGTGGGGCCAAACGGAGGCTATATTGTACATCAAGGTTCATCTAGATGGGGTTCAAAAGGCAGACCCTAAAAAATTAGAAAGAAAATGAATTGATGGTATAAATATATAAACCATTTAAAATTTTAAAACTGAATGAGACGACAAATCTGAACAAATGTTGTTTCATTCCGTCAATGAATTCTTCCACCATTGTTTTCGAACGAAAAATCTCAGTGCCATACAAAAATTTCATGCCCATTTACTTCGAACAGGCTTATTCTTCATCTCCCCTAATCTTCAGACCAGTCTCATATTTACATATACATGTCTGAACAAAAACAACCTCAGATCCTTAACTAACTTCTTGAAATGCCTCAACCCCAGAAATCCATTACAATTTAATTCAATTATATCTCATTTTTCTCAACAGGGGTCTCACTTTTTAGCCCTCAAAATCCTGTCTTTCATGCATTTTAATGGCGTTTATGTAGATTCTTATGCTTTGTGTAGTTCTTTAACGTCATTATCTTGTGTGAAAAATGTTTGCATTGGAAAAATGATGCACGCCCATGTACAAAAATCAGGCTGGTTGTCTAGCGTATTTGTGGGTAGTGCGTTGGTCGATTTTTATGCAAAAATGTGTGTAAATGATGCAGCAATGGTGTTTGACGAAATGCCTAGTAAGAATACCGTGTGTATTAATGCGCTTTTGTCAGGTTATGCTGAATCTAAAATTTGGGATGAAGTAATCCAACTAATTAGGAGAATCGAAGGGTTGAATTTTGATGTTGACAATTTTACAATGACGGCTGCATTACGTGCATGTGCTGGACTATGTGAAGTAGAGTTGGGTAGGCAGATTCATGCTACTGTACTTCGTAAATTTGATTTGGGAGCTGATGTGTTTCTGCAGAGTTTATTGATTGAAATGTATGGGAAGTGTGGACTGGTGGAGAGGGCAAGGCAAGTTTTTGATATGGTAGGATTTCGAGTAAATGGTGAGAGAAAAAGAGATGTTGTTTTGTGGACTTCGATGCTTGGCATTTACGGTAGAAATGGGAATTATGTGGAAGTGATTAGGCTGTTTGGCAACATGTTGAAGGAAGGGATCAGACCTGATGGAGTGGCATTTTTGACTGTCATCTCAGCTTGTAGTCACACTGGCCAAGTGGAAGTTGGGATGGAGTACTTCGAGTCCATGTCCCTATATGGATTGTTTCCAAGCTCGGAGCACTATAGCTGTTTGGTTGACTTGCTTTGCCGTGCTGGAGAGCTGGAGAAGGTCTGGGAGTTGATCGCTGAAATGCCACACAGTGAGGAAGGCAACTGCACCATTTCCATGTGGGGAACGTTACTTAGCGCGTGCAATGAGCATGGAAATGTTGATTTGGGTATGTTAGCTGCTCAACGGGCACTTGAGTTGGAGCCTCAGAATGTTGGAATATACGTTCTACTGTCAAATATGTTTGCTAGGAATGGTATGTGGGATGAAATTGGGCAATTGAGAGAATTGATGAAAATGAGAGGATTAAAGAAGGATATTGGATGGAGTTCGATTGGCGTTGCAAATTGAGCTGGAGGGAAAATCACTAAACTGAAAATCATTCCATTAATCTATGAGAACATACTCCTGCTACATTCAATTTCATGGTTAATTGGAAGAACTTCTCAAGGACAACTACAAAATGAGGTACAATTAGGCTTATGGGTAAGAGGAATAATCGGATTGATTTGCATGATAAGATTACATGAGTTGTCAGGTGTTAGTATTGGTGTTGTTTTCTGGGCGTATGTAATGCTGTAAAGGCTATGGGGGTACATGTATTAAATCGGTTAAAACAAAAGGAGAGGCAGAAATGCTGGATGTAGCCGCAGCACAGCATCCGGCATTCAGTCTATAGTTTTTGCAGACGATTTTCTGAGCCTTGAACACAAGGATACAACTTTTCTTGAATGGAGTGATACTAGTGCTATTTCCGTTGATGCTCATTCAATAATGCCAAGTGCGTTCTTTATGCCACTACCCAGCGTTGCATACATATGGAAAGAAGGGCGAGTGCCATTTTTACCGACTGACTAGGCAAATAATAGGACTCCTCCTAACCAAGCCGAGCCAAAAAGATCAATAATCTTATTGCAATGCCAAGCTAACCAAAATTGTAAGTTATACTCCTATGCATGTTTTTTAGGATTAATCCAGTCTTTTCTGGGAGAAGATGTAGCCTATTTCTTAAATAGAAGTTATGCATTCTTGCAGTATTTTTTTTTTTTTTCTCCGATGTGCCAAAGAAGAATTCGGGTTTGATCGTGATATGGAACTCGTGGTCCCTTGTGAAGAAGAAGTTTTTCTCTCCTTAACTTCAATGTACAGATGAAAGGATGAGTTTGTTTGAAGGTGTCCAAGATGAAGCTGCAGATTCTCCTTTTTCACATCTTTCTTCCATTGTAATTTGATTTTCTTAACCCTCTAATTTCAGCCCATTTGGGTCTCTGTATATTTTTCCAGTGACCCAATATTTTTTGGGTTAGAATGTTTATGTTTCCTCCACCCTGGGAGAGATTGCAATGTTAGCAAAAACAAATTTTACCATATCAAATGTTTCCTCACCACTTGTTTCTTTCTGATTATATGTAAGGGATAATTTGTAATTAGTCACACATTGGAATAAATGGAAGAAGAATCATTACTTGTCAAGGATTTCATACCTCATTTTCTTTTCTAGTCTTCATAAATTATGGCCTTTTAGAGTATCTCCAATAGATTCCCTATTCATAAAGAGCATCTTATACATAATAGAAAACGTCTTTAAATTTAAAGAGTAATTTTTTTACGCACTTTAATAATGCTCTATATTTTGATTCTTCCAATGAACATTTATTAATTTCTTCTCATCTCTTATTTGACATAATTTTTCATCCATTAATGATCAATCAATTCAAATGTGATTTGAATAATTCAAGTTATAGAATATTGAAATTTGTGACTTATTAAATGTTTAAGAATGCAAGTCAGTTTGATTTAGAAAAGCAAATACACTCTTTATTTTAAAAAGTTAAAATAGAAAATCTCTTGAAACTTATTTTTAAATGACAACATGGACCATTTCTATAACTTTATGTTCGAACTTAAAATAGAGAGTCTCTTTAATTTTTTCATCGTTTTATGGATTATTCTTCTTGAAACTTTAAAGCAAGACTAGTGCTTACAAGTCAAAGCTATAGATCTAAATTACAGGGAGAAAAAGGATTTCACTCTACTAAAATTTTTGCCAAAGAAATTACAGAAGAGAATAGAACAATTCTACAAGTATAACCCCCATATAAGGGGGATTCGTAGCAAAAACAATTTGATGGAAATGTTGATGCTGGACTCTCAGATATAGATGGTTTAGATTTATTTTCATAATTATAAGTGTTTAAAAGAAATTTTTCAAAAGGAAAAAAATAATTCAATTAAAATTCTTGTTAACATAAAAAAAAGTCGATTATTTTCTAAATGCATATTTTTATAGAAAGTTGTTAACAATATCAGTATGGGTTGCTTTTGAGATCAATTATTTATCTACATTGTGCATTGATAAGCTATTAAGCTTGAACATAATAATTTTGCATCTCATAAGGTAAGAAAAATAAATTTAAATCAACATAGTTCAATATATGAGAAACATGAACATTGTTGGTGGAGAAGTGTTCGTGATCATTTTGATACTACGAATTTGGCACAACTGTTCTTGAATCACAAATGTAGAGCTTTTCACCCTTTCTGCCAAATTCACATCGACCTTTCTCGTGTTTGAAGGAAAAAGACTAGTGGTGTTGTCTTTGTTGGTTGTTTTTCTATGTTGTAATAAAATGTTTATTATTATTTTTTAATGGTAGTATTTATTTCTCAAGTACTGTATATTAGCTAGATATTGGCATTCTTGTTAAGAGTTTATCATTTTTAAATGTTAGAAATCGGATGGTCAGTTCAATAGAAAAACTCGAGAATCGATCTCAAATTTGGTCTAGCTATAGATAGTAACCAGGAAAAGAAAACCAATGACTAAACCATTAGACTGATCGGTTTAATCATGAACTAGAAAATCGTATATGATTTTCCTAGTTTATAAGCCTTTTTTTTTTTAAAGATAAAAAAAAAAAAAAAAATTAACTTCCTTGATGGGCTCACATATTGAACTAGCAAGCATATTTAAAATTTTCTTCCGAGTGTTAAACCATTTTATAAAGGCTTCTCTTCTGCTGTTTTCATCACTCTTTCAATATTGGATAAAATTTTTAGCCAAATTTATATATTTAATAGTTTGCCTCATTATCTCCACTAAAAATCATGGCCCCAACAAAACTATAATCAAAATTAGTTATATTTTGAATAAAGCAATTATTTTGGACATATTAATTATTAGCTTTTAAGTTTTAAAATAAATTAGGATGATAAATTTAATTAACAAACATGAATTTATATTTACTTTGAATTAGTAAATTAAAACTAAAAATTATTATTTTTACAATATTTTGTAGTTTACGTGCGTATTTATTTATTCAATTTTGGCATTCAGTTCAATATTAGTTTGACCTGATTTGAACCTTGACCTTTTTTTTTTTTGTGGATGTCCAAATCGATTTTGTACTCGATTTTCTATTGTTTTTTATTTTTAGTAAAATGACAAATACTATCTTACATATAAGTATTATTTGTTTTTCGTCCAAAAACAAACATTATTCTTAAAAAGGTCCCTCCAACATTTTTTGTCTAATGCTAAGTAACTTGAGCCCCAGGATGATCATAGGTTATAAGCACAGATAAGGGTAGATTTATCTTTGAAATTGACTTGCAAAGAAGAAATACTCGCACTTACAAGCATAATTGTGACTAAGCTTCGTTTACTTTATAAATAGATAGAAATGAATTATACATAACTGGATAACGTGTGTTTGAAATTTTGCATGACGGAGACAAACAATAGGCTCATTTGAGATTATAATATTTAAAGTAGCAGGCTAAGTCCATTTTATTGGGCCCTAATCATCCTAAAAAGTCACTAAAACATGCTGTCACTCGTCGGTCCAATCAGAGGCCACTTTATTGGGATTTCCCTTTGTGGAAAATACATACAAGCCTATTTTTAAGAATCTCATTTCATAATGAAAAAATTTCATAAGTGAGAGATTATGTATGATATATTTTAAAATTAAGAAAATAAATTTCAAACTTCAAAAATCAGATTTTTATTAAATTTTATTTATGATTTAATTATTTAATTAATTAAATATATTTCGGTCACATATCTATACAATTTAGTCATGAATTAACAATTTAATTACTAACTTATTAATTTTTTGTCACAAATAAAAACTTTTAAGTCACAAATTATTTTACGATCACAATTCAAAAATTCTGCAGGTCACAATTTGTTTATCGGTCACAAATCCGAAAATTAATTAGTCATACATTAATTTTAGTCACAACTTATCAATTTAATGTCACAACTTATTTCTCGATTACAAATAAAAAATTTTATAGGTCACATTATTTTTCGATTATGAACAAATTTTTTATAGGTCATAGATTATTCATTGGTCACAGAATCAAAACTTTTATTTTTCACAACTCATATATTCATTGCAAATTTTATATTAATTGGTCACGATTAATTTTTCGATAATAACTTAATCAATTGTAAGTCAAAGTCACAATTTTTATGTCACATATTATAAATTTAGTCACAGTCACAAATTCGGCCACATTATTTATCAATTATAAATTAGCAATTTACTGATCATAACATAATTGTTCACAGACACTCTTTTCCACCCACTGGAATACCACCAACTGCCAACCATCACCTCGCCAAATCCACCACCATTGCCAGCTTCACCAGCACCAAAACCACTCAAATCCCCAACACCACCAAAACACAAATGACCACCACTACTTTAACAACCAAAAAAACACATCCTCCACCAATACCCACACTACCGCACCGCCATCGCCCCATCACCACCACCACCACCACCACCACCATTGCAAAATCATATCCATCCACACTTAACAAATCATAAACACACGTCTGCTTATGCAAACCTCACTTGGCCACCACCGCTGAAAAATAAATCAAAAATCGCAACACCGTCGAGGGTAGAACCACCAACGATAGCACCACCACCCACCACTAATAAATCACCTCAATAAACTATCACAAAAACGACCTCAAAACCACTTGTGATCACCGCCCACAACTACCTGAACCATCGCCGCCGCCATAACCCCAATCAACACAGCCCAAACACATAATACAAACACGCGGCCACCACCACCAAAATACACCATCGGTGGAATGAAGTCGTCGGAGAAGCTGATTCCTGCCCCTTTCTTTAATCCCTCCTTAATTTGTTCAATTTCTGTACCCATCTTTCTTTCTCGTTGCCACAGCTGGGTTGATAATGGAGGGGGGAGAGAGAGAGAGAGAGAGAGGAATTTGATTACGATATGAGGAAAGGTGGGGTGGGGGAAGGGTAGAGAAAGAGTGAAGAACAGGTGGCGGCTTGGCTTTTAAGAGAGAGACGGTGAAGAAATGTTGATAGATATATTATCATTAGAAATTAATTATATGTCCACTTTCCCTCATAGTCTCTCTCCAATCTCTCGGCCTTTCTTTGTCCTAATTAATTGAAATAAATATCTGTAAACTGCCCTAATTCTCCACATCCTCTCTGAGCCCTAGTTCAGTGGGATTGTAGAGTCATTATGCAAAGGTGCAGAGCCACTTCGACGAGGTGCTATGAGATCGTTGAAGAGGATTAAGGTGGCATGACAGATCTGTGGAGTGACTTCCAGCTAGGTGAAGAATATTGGCAGTGGTGGCGACGATGACGGTGGCTGTGGCTTTGGATCTCTGGTTTTGGATCTGCCATATTTTTGAAATGATGTTTAAGATGGTTTTTGGGTGTGAAGATTTGATCGATTTTTGTTTGTTGGTGGTGGTGGTTTCCATGGTGTGGTGATGTTGGGGGTGGTTTTATTGGTGGTGGTAGTGGAAGATTGGGTGTGCTGATGATGGATCTAGAGTTGGTGGGAGTGGATTTGGCGATGCATCTGGCGATGGTGGTGGTGATGGTTGTAGCGACGACGGTGGTGGTCTACCTGTGGTTGTGGTTGGGGTTGGGGTGAGGTAGGGTATGGTGGTTCTAGCGTAAGTGCTCCTGGTGCAAATGATTTGGTTAACTATGACCATTAAATTGGTTAATCATTAACTAATAAGCAATA